TAGTCACACCTTTTCATTTTCCATTTTTTCACACCTTTTCATTTTCCAATTTTTACACACCTTTTCATTTAATATTTGAACCAATTCCTACACTGTGAACTATTATTGTAAATTAAGATAAAACCGCAGATCAGAGGGGGAGGAAGAAGCATAAACCGTACTAATCAATTATTACAATTTATGTTTTCACTCTTCTTCCTCAACCTATGTCAACAGCTTCTGCAGCAGATTCTTTGCTCCATTTATACATCCTAAAATCCAGAAAACAGGCACAATAGACGTGTTGGCTAGGCATTTGTTAGTTTGAATATTCTTAGTATTTGTTTATTCTGTAAATTTCGTAGAGGCTATATAGTTGCAATGAAGAATGATTGAGCTGTTGATGTTGATCTTCAACCAAATTGAATTAACCCCGAAATTTAACTTGTTATCAAAGCTGCAATGCGGAATACCAATTCCATTTATTTTGGTTCATTTTCATGTTTTGTGCTTTATTTGGTAAGGAGAGCTACATTAATAAGAATGGGAAGAAAACGAGAAGTTGGAGCTTTAAATTAAAGTGGAAGTGTGAAGGACTCGAGCCAGGGAAAACCCGTTTGGCCAGGCTCAAAGCCGGGGCCAAAAACATGTGGCCGCCTGGCCTCCTCGAGCTATCATAAATTTGATGATAAGAGACGCAAAAGGCATATTTGGGTGCATTGGAAATTCAAGTGATAAAAAAGGAAATGGAGTGTCAAAATTGGAATTAAGAAAAAAATTTCAATGCAATTTCTTCTTATCCCGGAGGGAATTTTGGAGAGTCTTGCTATATGTACAGAAAGTTATTTCACAGAATTGCTATAGATAACTCACAATAGAGGGTGGGTGGGACATTTTTTGACATTTTTTATTATCACATGGGCCCACACATGTGAGATTTCTGGTAGAATTCTGTGATTCCATTTTCTATACCAATGGAATAAGCCAATTTTGGAACTTCAAAGGCACAAACCTCCGTGGCAACTAAAACAAGACTATGTATACATTTTTCTTTCACAACTTGGGAGCTAATTTGGAGACTTGGAGACGCTCAAAAAAATTGGAAAAGAACCAGAGCAAAAATAAGAAAAAAAAAAACTTAGAAGAAAGTTTGAGGAAATTGGAGGAGGAGTTCAAAACAAGGTTTCATTCTGTAAATCCAACCAAGTGACATGTTTCAAGTTTTATCTTTATTTCCTCAAATTTATAATATATTTCATTATGAGTTAAACTTCTAAATGTTACGATGATTGATGTAGCTTAACTAAGAGCTTGATTAATTTTAATGTTTGATTTTTAAATTTGTGTTACCCATTACACTCGGTTGCAATCACATTAGATTCTTGTGAAAAAAATAAAGATATACTTCTAATCCAAAGGAATTCTTTGAACTGTTCTCACAAAAATTGACGATGATAATACTCTTTACTTTCCTTGTAATGCATATCTATTACAATTTTATGCTTACTTCTTTACACTACCTAAGGTGTGCCACAAACAAAAATTATGACGCTAAACTAT